TTAGATCAATTCAATTGCATTTTCACTGTAGCATAAGTTTTAAGCCACTTTGCTTACTTACTCCAAGAACATTATATTTTAGTTATAAAGGCAGTTTCTTTATTATCCTGCAATTAATGAATCTAGAAAATGTGGTGATAAGAGATATTATCATTCTGGACAACCAAGAACAGCTAAAGCTGGTATTTATTGACATTTATAATATTAATGAAATTAAAACTATTCAAATACCATGGACGTTTATTTTCGGTCTTAAATCTTTGGTACCTTAAACACATGTCATGTTTACAATTACTTCCCATACAAAAGTCACTTGACAAAATTTAACTATCAGTCCATAATCAATTTATTGTGTTATAATAACAAGCTTGAAGGATAGAATAGGTTTCCTCCCCTTCAATGTGATTAGGGCCCGGCATGGCCAGGTGGTTAGGGCGCTCGACTCGCAATATGCGAGTTGCGGGTTCGAATCCCTGTCGCACCAAACATGCTCCCCTTTCAGCTGTGGGGGCGTTATAATGTGATGATCAATCCCACTATTCGTTTGTAAAAGAGTAGCCCAAGAGTTGGCGGTGGGGGATGATGACTAGCTGCCTTCCCTCTAGTCTTACACTGCTAAATTAGTGACGGCTAGCGCAGATAGCCCTCGTGTAGCTTTGCGCGAAATTCAAACCAAAAAATCAATGTGATTATCTTCTTTTAAAACATGCTGTTTATTTTGAAAGATAAAACTGACATTCAGTATACTTCAAAATAAAAGTTGAACTTGCAATTGCACAGGGGCCCGGGCGAATGAAACCTGGTTATGCCGGAAAGCATATTGAGGCTCTATCTTCATTTAATGATAAAAACCATAGTTTTTGGCTTTTCTTTACATATAGACGCTTGATACATTAAGAACGACTGAAATAATAATTTGAGTAACAATTAATATAAACGGCTGCTGCTATGATTTTGTCTAGTTTATGAGCTCGTTGCGGGCCTAATTTAGGATCTTCTTTTTAATAAATTCTTGAAAATGTTAAACAAGAGAGAGAAGGGGGGCCCGTGCTGGCTCTCGACGTTCCTGTGTGTCACTGATGTAAATCAAAAAAAGCAAAAGTCCTAAAACTGAGCTCTGAGGTACCCCACTTGTGACATTAATCTAGTTTGACTGAAATCCGTTGATAACAACACTGCTTTCTTCCATCTAGCCAGTTTTATATCCAGTGAGCCAATATATCGTCAACACCTACAATGACAACTTTTATTAAACAATCCTTTTATGTAGCGTCTTATCAAATGCTTTCAGAAACTCTAGATGGCAGCACATTTGCAGCTATCACATACGATAAAACCAGTTGGTAATTAGTATCTTGAAATTAATAAATTGCTATATAATTAATAATCAGATTTAGGAAACCATATAGGGTACTATCAATGACAATGAGTTGTATGACTTGGGTTTGTAAGACTTAAGAGTAAATTGTAATCACATTATTCATTAATCAAAGTAGTGACAGCGACTAACAGTAACACTAGATAGTGTACTGTTTAAGTGTATTTAACTTGTAAGTTGTAAGGCTTTTGAACTTAAACTTAAGTAAGCCTTGTATTTTCTACTCCATTATGCACTGTACAATCATAACCTTTGATTTAATTATAATTTTGATCAATCAAGTTAATTGTCTAGCCCTACTGACAGTACTGCTATGATGTTTTGTGGTTGAAAGTTCAACTTCAGTATTGTCTGTAGTAAACCGGTTTCTGGCAACATTCTAATGTTCTCTGTACAAACAACCGGTATGGCACTGATGTGGACTGTGGTAAGATTGTAATTTTAAAATAGTTCCACATTTGATAATGTTGTTGTTAAATGTCATAGTTAAAGATAACCAGATGTATTATCATTGAAAATAATGGAAAAAAATGTTTTGTAAAACAACTCTTACATTGTAAAGATACAGCTGCAGAATACAAAATGATGTTGATTGTCAGAACCATTGGAACAAACCAGTTGTTTAACAGAACAAAACTACAGCAGGAAATATGCATTCTCTAATTTAAGAGTTTCCTAGATGTTATAATATTTTTAATTGTTATCATATGTATTTATTGATGGAACAAAAAGCCTCTAGAGATAGATTTTGTGAATTGAGAACACCCACTAATAGCATTAAATTAATCTTAATCTTTTGATTACCTTTTTGGCAAGGTGAGTATTTACAAACATTTAACCATAATCAAGTCTTGTTTCTTCTTGTGCATAAACAGACAAATGATATATTCTGATCTTGACTTTTACAGAATATCAGAGGAACAGGAGAAGATACAGCAATGGATCTAGATTATTAAACATGAATACTGGCAGCCATCGAATATTGGCTGTTCATTTTGTTAAAGGTAATAAAATTTGATTATCAAAAGTAGTGCTTTTTTT